TCCTTTTTACGCAGTGGTCCAGACAGACATCAAACGGCAGAACATATTCAGTGTGCAGTTCCTTTGGCATTAGGGCAAGGATATCTAGATACTTTCCGAGGTTTGACATAATGAAATGTGCTACTTTTAAAACAAGCAACAATGTTTTCAAATCTGTAATCAAAAAGCTCCTCAAAAACGCTATCGAAGCAGTTCCTGCCGTTGCTACGTTAGTTCAAACGGTAACAACGGACTATTTTTCTTAGCGGATGCATGTCAATTTAAATCAATACATACAACTATTTTTTAAATCAATAAAATCATTTTCTAAATCCATAAAAGCATTTCAATTCATATTGTGAGTCATATCGTTACTTTGTTGAGAATGTGGCCGTGTAATAAGCGGGATGATGTGCAGCGACGCGGTCATTATGGGGAAAATAACACCTTCATGCTGATCAGGAGCACGACGCGAAGTGGAGGGATCGAGATCGGCATGAAGGTGTCATTTATCGCTGCACATGATCCCTTACATAATATCAGAGATTATTAAAAATGTCTTTTATATTCTTGACTTTAAATCACATTAAATGTTCTCATAACATTTCCACTTTCTTTACAAAATGTCACATGTCTTCTTGTAAATGTATGATCTGATAACCTCAGAGTGTATGCGGGTAGACAACACGTTTTATTTATATATTTTATTCTGTAAATAAACCATTTGAATCTCAGAGTACGACCCAGCTTCCGTAAGCCTTTATTTTTACCTAAAATGTGCCGCGACTAAAGGAGCTACAGGGGTTAAAGACAGTAAAAGTACACAGAAAATAACTTGTGTTCACGTACAGATGTCAGACGTCCGTCGCCGCCTCGTGGATATAAATGATTAAATATCTGCTTTTCAAGTTTTTTTTATTCACCATTTCTTTTAAAAGTAAAACAGAAAAAAGCCTTTTACAGAAATCAAACATGCACGGTATTATTTCTGTGTATGTGTGTGTGTGTGTGTGTGTATGTGTGTTTTAAAAACCATGAAGAGGAGGAGGATGAGGAAGGAGCTGCACAATAATGAGAAAGATATTAATATATATTTATTATTAAGAGAGGAAATTATTAATAAATAAAAAAGATCGACAAAAATAATTATGCTTGTTTTTTTGTTGTTTCCAGCTTCTGTTGTTTTAGTAAATATATTTATGATTTAAAGAAAACACATTTTTAAAGAAGGACATATTTAGATCGTTTCTGTATTCATTTTATTTTTTATCCGATTTGTTAAATCTGGTCATTTTGTTTGATTTCATTTATTAAATTATTATAAATTATTTTTTGTAAATCACCTGCAGCTTCTAAGGACCTGGAACGTTATTAAATTTTATTTATAATGTATTTAAATGTGCAGCTCAAACAGAAGTATGGATTATATTTTGGATTTATTGAATAAATATGTTGTTTAATGTGTTATCCTGCAGGGGGCGCTGTTCCCTCGCCCCTGCTGCTCCTCTGGGTCGAAAACAGGATTTATTTGATTATTTCTGGATAAATATGATGAGTTTTTACAGTGTGTGTGTGTGTGTGTGTGTGTGTGTGTGTGTGTGTGTGTTATCCCACGAGAGATTCCCACCAAGTAAAGAAAACAAAATAAATCTCCCGTCTGTTTTAAATCAGCTTCTTTATTGGCGTAATAAACACAACAACATCTGTCATGTATTTATTTTAGGTGAAGTCACTGACTGTAGATATTTAAGGTTAAAGTGCTGAAAACGGGAGGATTTTGGACAGATTTTGATCATGAGACGCTTTTATTTCGAAGGGACATCAATTGAAACATGATTTCCCATGATCCTGAGCAGCAAAGGACTTTTTATTAGGTTTTTAGAGCCACTCGTTAATGTGTGTGCAAGCATGTGTGTGTGTGTGTGTGTGTGTGTGTGTGTGTGTGTGTGTGTGTGTTAGCCAGAGGAGCAGCACCCCCCCGCGGGCGTGGCCTGTGGTTCGTCGTCAACGATCTGTACGCCCCGCCTACTCGATGCTGATTGGCTCGCGCCGTTGCCCTTCAACCGCTCCTCAGCCTGAGCCGTCTCCATCATCCCTGAGAGAGACAATTAAATAGAGTTCAAACAAATCATTACAAATCATTTAAAAAATAAGGCACAGAGGAAAACAAATTAGGTTTTTAAAAACACACAAAATAATTTAAATAAATAAAATAAGGTTTTAAAAAATAGAGCTAAAACACAGGACAGGAAATACAAAATGATAAAATACAAAGAAAACCATAAAAATTCACCGAAAATTGTAAGAAAAAGTTGAAATATAGAGAACAAAAATGTAATGTTAAAAATACACAAAGACAGTAATACAAATGTTTTGTGAGGAGCAGTGTAAGATTTAACATCAGATATAATGAAATGTAATTGCTCCTATAAAGACGTGCTGTTACCACGGTGAAAACATTTGAATATCTTTCAGATTATTCTTTGAATTTATGAAATGTTTCTTACTTTTACAGAGATCCAGGAAGAGCTCCTCGATGCCTTTATTTAACTTTGCTGACGTGTGGTAATGTTTGGCTCCCACCGACTCTGCATAGCTACAGACACAGAGATACATGAGAACACACACACACAGAGAGAGAGAGAGAGAGAGAGAGAGAGAGAGAGAGACGTA